GGCAGTTTGCTTCTTGTGTAGTTTCTCTGGTTTATCAATGACTCAAAAACACGAGTCTCCTGTGGAGTATTAAGAGGGGCTTAACCAATGCATTGTAAAGACTTGTGCTAAGGAGGCTTGAAGCAAAGAAAATCAGATTACTTATCTGTGACACTACTTTGCCACTGACCCTGGCAATTTAATGGTGATTTATTATTTCTGGCATGCCTTCTAGGCCTGTTAGCAGAATGCTCCAAGCTGAACTACCCTGAAGTTTTTAGGAGTCCCTAGAGAACTGCACTGAGAGCCATTTTCCCACGTCCATATCATGTATCAGTCACAGCATGGAGAAACACTCTTACAGCACTGCTATCTAACCTGTGCCTTTCTTCTCCTGCAATTATTTCCTTAGGATGGCATTCAAATCTGTGTGCTTTACCTTTCGCATGACTCGTGGGCCAACCTCACACACGTCCTGCAGCATTCTGGGCTTGACTTGGCAGGTTTCTGCTGAGCGTGCTGCTTCAGTGTTTGCTTCATAATCAAGTATGTGTGGGTAGCTCTGTTCTTCTCAGAAGAGCTATGCATATGCTTAAAGTAAGTACATGTTTAAGTACCAGCCAAAATGGCAAATGCTTGGGCAGAATTCAGGTCTAAACAAGCTGTTCTAAAAGCCTTCTGCATCTTGGACCTGCTAGCCAGATATTTGATATGTTTCTGGGACATGGTGCAGCTTAAAAATTATTAAAGGAAAATAGAAAAAGCCAGTGGTAGCAGTTGGGATGATTTGAGTCACTTGAGGTCACAAATTTGCCTGTCATCATTACGAAAGGATTACTGTCCTAGACGTTTATCTCCTCAAGAGATCCTTCATCCTGTTGTTGGTATGGTAGAGAGAAACAAGTTCTCACTCATGCTTCATATGCCTGCTTGGAAGGGAGGCAGACATCTTGTCATAGTTGTCCTATCAGGCATCTTGCTATAATGGTATTTAGGGCCAAACCAGTGAGCTTACTTTGTGACAACTGAATGTCTGTCTTGACTATGGTTTTAAACCAGAATGGCTTCTCTGCATTTGCTGTCTGACATATATATATATATTTCATTGCATTCGAGCTTTTTGGAAGTTCTAGAAGCTTTGTGAAAGAGTGCATCTTAGGTCTTGACTGCTTGGTGGTTTAGATTTAAAAATGTGAAACACATGCATAAACAAAAAGCTTATTATTTTGCCATTAAATTCCTTTCTTCAGAAGGAAAATAGCTTTGTTATATAGCAAACTTTACTTCTCAGTGGGAGCATTCACTCTGAAACCTGTATGTTCATTAACTTCACACCTGAAGTTAGAGACCTTAACTTTTCCTGACTGCTTTCAGGAGTGCAGACAAGCTCTCAGGACAAATGATGTTCCCAGTGAAGTAAAACTTGGTACAGCTAATACCAGTGACTTGTAAGCTGGGAGAAAAATGGAAAGCATCATAAATTTATCTGTGCCTTGCAGGCAGGATCATATGCTTTTCAACTGGCATAGCCAAAAATCTGTTTGTACATAGATATCATTCCTTCCCAGTGGTAGTCACTGAACAGATTCTGTTCTACATGCCAATGGTCTATAAGAGAGCAGGTGTTTCTATATCTAACGTACTTCAGCTCTAAAGCCAGAGCTGTTATTTTGACTTGGAATCAGGACACGTTCATTCCAAAGTCTATGATCCTCACTGCCACAAATAGTACTTTTTTGTTGTTCTTCGTCTTAGTGTTTTGTATATTAAAGATCATAATAGTTTCTCTTTGTTTCAAATTACTTCCCATACTGTACTTCATTTTACCTCTGTCACACTGTTTGCCCTGTTAAAAAAAAGATGGATTACAAAAAATTGGATATAATGTTCTGGACTGAATCTCTTTCAGACAGGTGGGTGCCATGGTATTGCTATTATCTACAGAAGAGGTAAACTTAGGTATGTTTGGGAAACTTGCCTAGTCATCCTAAAATGCAGGGTTCAAAAAGCAGACTTTTTAGTTGAGTTTGTGTATAGTTTGAAGAATCCCAGATTTTAACATGCAGGGAGAAATAGGTATCATGTATATGCCTTATTTCTAACAGAAAAATCTGGAAGCACTTTAGTTAATAAATTCTCTCAAGCATCCCTTTGAGGTAGGGAACATACACGACATCCAAAGGTTACATTCCTTCCAAAAAAATGTAGTTGCCCAAGGTATTCACAAGTACCCAAACCCACTTGTATCACATTTTGTTCTGGTTTAAATGTTAAAGGTGAATCCCAAAAAAACAGAGGACAGAATTGCTGTTCCCCCCCCCTCCACCCTCCCAAGGGAAGTTGGAAAGGGGAATAAAGAAGAGAGACTTAGACTTTGGAAACTGAAACTAGAAACAAATTTGCTATAACACAAGGAAACAGGGTAAAACGTGGGGGAAGAACAGGTAAGTATTTATCTCGAGGATGGCAGGGATATGGGAAAGGCAGGGCCGCTCCAGGGGAGAGGTCCAGGGCTCCTCACAGCACCCGATGCAGTTGGATTCTGGAGCGAGCACGTGGGAAGCTGCAGGAACCAGCAGCAGCCCCTGGAAAAAGCAAAGAGCAGGAAGGGAGGAGAGACCCCTTCCCCCTCTCCTGGCTTTTATAGGTTGTGACATGGAGTGGGCGGGAATACTGACCCTTCCAGTCTTTCAGGGTCCTAAGGACCCTCTCTCTGTAGCGTCCAACACCGTGCAGGGGTCTCCCAGAGAATGTGTTTAAAAAACACATTTAAAGAACTCCCTGTACTACTGAAACGCTAGGAATGGCAGTGAAATGACTGGTGGTGAAGGAATTATGGGATAAGGGAGATTATTCCCAAAATTAAGTTTCAGGATTTAACAGGCTAGGGCTTTCTGAACTGGGCCTCTGTTATGAAGCCTCTGTAACCTCTGAGGATCTTGGGGCTCCCCCTTCTTCTGGAACATTGGATGGCAAGTAGCCACAACTCTGCTTCACCTTGCCCCTCATTCAGGTTTGCAGCATATGTAACTGAGGGTTCAGTTTCACCCCAGAGGGCGTGCAGAAATAGCAGCTTACTGTCATTGAAAGAGGGAATACAGGTCCCTCATCTCAGCCCTCCCTGTCTCCTGGCTGTGCAGTTTTGCCTCTTACCTTGTACTGCTGTTAGCATTTGTTGGAGTCCTCTGCAAGCCAGTTTAGGTCTCTAAAACAGGAGAAAAAAAGACACTGGCAGGAAAAAAAAATTAAAAGGCAGTTTTTTTACTACATTAGTAACTAGTTTGATGGAGTAAGAGGGAAACCATGGACCAAGGTGTTTGATGTTGGGTACCTCTCCCTGTGTTTTGGGCTGTTTTGCATGATCTCTGGTCCTAGGCTGGCCATTAGTAGGGCATTCTGGTTGGAGTGCATTAGGTGTGCTTCTGGAGCACATCAGTTTACTTTCATCTGAAACTGTCCAGGTGGTTTGCTTGAAGACTGCTCCATGATGCAAACTAAGTGGGGCAAGCAGGGATAGTTAAGACAGTTTGTTCCCAAAGGAAAGCCCTGAGCTGAGCTAAAACATAAGAGACACGGCCTTAGTGAGCTGAATCAGCTCTGTAGGGGAGGGGTTTGGCTGCAAAGCCAGAAGAGTGGGGGTGACCTGCTGTCCTTTGGCAAGCTGCATGTCTGCTCAGCCGTGAGCACACATAACCTGACTGCTGAGATACTGCCCACATCTGAGTCCCTAGCACCCACCTTCCTGACCGCTTGATGCCAGCTCTGCTTCACTTAAAGATGTCAGGCTTGCAGCAGAAAACTTCATGCCATGTAAAGTGGGAGGGCTTTTAGCTATGAGCTTGAGTTCTCTTGCTAACTGCAAGGTGAATGTGTCTATTCAAGAAATTGGTGCAGGTGAGCCAAGATAGCCAATTTGCGAACAAGCAATTGCATTTCATTCATGGATTGGTGCAATTTTGGGCATGCACATGGTTAGCTGTGTTTGATCTGATCATGCATACCTACCAAAATCAGTCCTAAAAGCATACTTGCCATACCATGCTTTTTGCAAACTGCAGGGTGTGCCTCTTAACTCAAGTGGTATCAGTGAAGGATAAGCTCCCAAGTGTAAATCAATGGCCAGTATTTTTAAAAAGTCATCTTGTAAGCACCAGAGTTGATGAAGCCCAGCTTCCTATGTTTTGTACCTCATGACTGATTGCTACACCTTTGTAAAGGGTGTCTGAAATCTTTCAGACAGATGGACAATAGCTTTCTTATGTGCAGGGATTCTGATTTATAGAAATATGTGGGTATCCACCATGAGGATAATGCTGGGTGTCCCTCTTCTGCCTATTTTCATGAAAGTTACAGGACCTAAACTTTTGAAGATATCTCATCCTCTGTGGTTTGAATGGGTCAGCTATCTAGGCACAGGGTGATTATTACATCAGCATCATTTCCATAGGAAGCCAGATAAGAACAGGGAGCCAGGCTTAAGCTCCCAAAACTTTATACAAAGGTGAACCAGCAGCAAAGAAAAAGAGGTAGTACCTCTTTGGGACCTGCCTCCTGAGCAGGGTTCCAGACCCTTCCACCACTCCATGTGCAGTTTGTGGGGGGAGACAGGCATTACAGAAGTGGATTTGGATTCTGCACAGCAGAATGGTAGTTGTTTTCTGGGAAACACTTAGGTAGCATAGGTCTTGGCTGAGCAAAGGGCTTTCCAGCCACAGTCCTATGCTTTGTTACCTACATTGTTTTATGGATCAAGTTCTAAATTGATAGGTGAACTTTTATAGTTAGGCTCTTCTCCAGTTTCTAAGCCTAACTAGGAATTTTGAAATTTAACTGGGATATGGGAAGCCAACTTGATTTTGGGTAAAAGATTTATTAATCAAGGTTTGCAATAGTCAGTTTTCTATTGGATTTTAATTTCCATAGCCAGATGTCCCACATTAGTTTAATCTTCTTGCAGGCATATTCCTAGTACTGCACTTTGGAGTAAAAATACTTTTGTGTTTCTTATAGGTAGCTTAAAGATGGATGCTCCCAAAGAAGTTCAGCCTACAGGAGAGTTCAAGTGTCAGCTGTGTGGCTTAACAGCTCCATATATGTACTATGGGCAGAAGCCACCAAACACACACTCTATTGTGTAAGTACAGCCTTTAATATTACAGACTCCATTTATGCTATGAGCATTAGAAACCTTGTACTATGAAACAACATGCATTGCATGAACACAATAATATGCCATATTGCCCCTGAATATGAGTCTTGATATATAAAGTGACCTTCTGTTTTCAAAGGAAAGAAATGTTAAAAATTGTCAGCATTGATAGCAAAGACAAAAATCCATTTTCCCATCCTGCTTCAATACCATGCAAAGATTTGCATTTAAGCTATTTATTTCCTAACCCCACTTACCACTATTTATGTATGCTGTAATATTTTTCATAGAATACTGTTGACTGTCAGCCTAGCATTTCTGGGAATAGCCCTTTTTTCATAGCTGAACATAAATCTTAACTTTAGGTTATCCAAGCTCAGTATTAACATCTCAGTTTTACTTGGATTGCTGTGTTAAGACTGAATCTTGCAAGGGAAGCTTTGCAAAGGTAATCCAGTACACTAGGAGACTTTGTTGACAAGGTGATCTGCCATCTTAAGATGCTTGATCTTTCCTAATGGTGGAGGGATTGAGACATACCATTTTTTTTTTTGTTGGAGTAGAGAGGAAGAAGAAAAAGGAATGCACTCACAAACATATACTTGTGTGTGTGTATGTATGTAGACAAGGAGAACGCAGTGTGACTTAACAGAATACTTTAAAAATATGTATTTTACTCCATATTACTACAGAATCCAAGTTTGATTTAAACCCAAGAGTATGCCAGCCTTGCAGCGTGCCCTGCTGCAGGCAGACTTCTATAATATTTTGCCTGGAGCTCCTAGGAAGAGTGAAGCTCTAGTCTTTCCCAAGTAGGTTGCCAAGTTAATAAATGCACTGCCATAATACCCTGAAGCAAACAGTACAGTCTGTGACATAAAGTAAGCATATTTAATTGTAATGTTCTGTACTTGTAGCTCTTGTGCAGTTGAAATGGTAACTTGACAAAGCACTGAAGTTGGCCATACAAAAAAGTGGCTGTCATAAACATGGTAGATAAAAAAATACTTTTAAGATAGAGCACTGAGAAAAAAACTAGCAAGGCAATGCTGAGGTGATCACCAATTGCTCTAATTTTGGAAGAGAAATAGTGCAGTATAGGACTGGAGACAACCACATTGTTGGTTTTGAAGAGGAAGGGAGCTGCATAGCAGCTACATTGCTTCATGCAAATCAAGTAGGAAGAGTTGATAATTTTTATGCCTCCACAGTTTCCCCATTTCAAGTCTCCCATACTGTGAAATCTATCTTTAAAAGCCTGGAATTGTTCTCTTACAGGATATTGGAAGAAAGCTATGTCATGAAGGATCCTTTCACCCCTGACAAGGACAAATTCCTCATCCTTGGGTCTCACTGCAGTTTGTGTAGCAGATCAGTGTGTGTTAGTACAGTAAGTAAAAAGCACAATGAGCTTCCACAATCATTTATCTTTGTTCAAGTCCTGGTGAGCTGCTAGAGAAAGACCAAATAGCAGAAACCCAAACAGCCTGTTTTTAAAGGCAAGAAAATTGTATGTGGTTGTTGATTCCCCTGGATAAAGCTCTTTATACAAATGAAAATGATCAGCAACTTTTAAGTGTTGTGTTTACAGATAAGCACACTCCAGTTTCTCAGCACAAGAAAACTCTAAGGAGATTCACATGAAGCCCTTTAAGGTTCAGTAGGTTGTACTGTACCAACAGTAAATTTTTTTCTGTAAAGGGAATATAAATGTCCATGGGTTGTTTGGTTTGCATCCGCAGCACACAGCTGCCATCCTCTGTAAAAACTAAGGTAGAAAGAGAGCAGGGAGGGTGTTGTGCAATGCTAGGATAGCTCTCTGAGGAATGAATTTGAGTAGCAGCTGGTAGGCAACCTTAAAGCTATGAAATCTGAGTGTGGTCCAGAAAAGTGGAGTAAAATTACAGTTGTTTTAATTCCTTCTCTTCAGTGCAGAACTGGTCCTTTGTTTGCGGTATGTTCAAAGCAAAAATGAAGACAAGTTATTACACAATTATCTGTGTCTGGAGGCAGTACTGAGGAACTTAGGTTCCATTCCTTTCCCCTGGCAAGCCAGTTCTGTGGTTGAAAGAGACTTGGGATTCATGCAGTCAGGACTCATGCATGACTCAATCCATGAGGAGACTTCACCTGATTGCTTACATGGACAACAGCATGTATTTGTTATACCAGACATCACTGCCCTCATAGCAGCCAGATCCTTTCAAAGTGGTCATTTGCTGTCCCAGAGTAACATGCTTAAATCTAGAGTGCAGCTAATAGCATGTGTGAGAGCACATCTTGCTAAAGTGTCATCTTTAGCAGTTTTCAAATTCTGCCCATTCTCTAATTGCAGTGGTGAGGGCCAGCCCCAGTGACTACCTTACTGCAAGTAGATAGTAGCAGAAGCATTCAAACAAACAGACCAGTTAAAGACTGTGACGATGTAGTATTTTTTTCCTTCATTATATTTGCTGGCCAGTTATAGTTCTGATGGGACAAAGTAACACCTCTGGTCTCCTCAGAGCACGGGGTGAGACAATCTGGGCAACTGAGACAGCTCGTATGTCAGTGCCAGATAGTTTCTGTGTGAGAACTTGAGGAAATTCTCTTGAGCAAAACAAAGGGTCAAATTACACTGAAAAAAAATTAGAGGGTTAGATGGACAGTGAAAGGCAATTGGCACTCTTGGACAAATTTAGCTGCTAATCTGACTTGCAGGGAGTTAGCACCAAGGATGGATTTGGTCCACTGTCCTGAGAGGAGCGTGACATAAGCACCTTTCTCCTCATTAGGCTTGTTTCCTATTTCTGAAGTCCCTTTTGTCATTTAAATGAATTAAAATCACTAAAAGGTCAAACTAGAGTTTGCAACTGAGGTGGGTTTTTTTGTTATTGTTGTTGTTTTTTCCTTTCTGGAACTACCTGAGGACTATGTGGGAGTCAGAGGAAGTGCTGGAGCTCTCTGGTTATGGCTTTGATAGCTGGCCTCAAGTTTGCAGGGCCAAGTAGCTCAACGCAGTTGTGCGAAGGCAAAGCTCACATGTGAGCAAGATCTTCCTAGTGACAATGCCCTGTCTTGGCTGGTAGTTGATTTAACTCCCACACACAGCCAGAGAAAGAGGCAAGTGCAGCCAGTCAGATAGTTTGGGCTTACGAGCTTGATTCCTGCCCTGACACGTCAGGTTTATCCCTTTTTCACAGCAGAGGATTAGCAACTCAGATGCCTTTTGAGCAAACTTGGGCGCCTCTAGCTGTTTTCATTCTGAAATGAACTGTCTTGAATTTAGGAAGGATTCAAAGGATATTTCCAAGTCTGGCAGTTAAATCTGTCAGAAATACAGAATTTCAGCCTCTCAGTATCTTTCCACACAATGTGTGTTTCTGAATGAAGGTGGGGCTTTTCCTTCTAAAAGATTTAATAATTGTTTCAGTTAATCTAGGGCATAATAATGTAAGAGGATATTAGCAGTGAGCTCCTAGAAGCCTCTTCTAATCTTTTTTACCTTCTTGTCTGCTTTGGCTATTGTGGAAATCTGTCGATCATTGACATTATCTGAGCCTTCAAGATTCCCCTGATGGTATCACTCAAAGCAAAACCTTGATTGTAAATAATTGAGAATAAATTTCTTACCAAACTGGCCAGGCCAGATAGTGAATCACACAAATGACTACAGTTTCAAAATGTATTTAGCAATACTGCTTAGGTAACATTGAAAGAGATCGGCAGAAATTATAATTAGTGCTTGAAACACCCACACCACAAAATAGGTAAACACATACTATTCCTCTTTCATGTAGGGAAAATGAAAAGTCCAGAGAAGTAGAAACTGATCCAGGGCAGTAGAGAGAGACAAAGTTAGGATAACATCTCTGTGGATTGGTTTTGGTTCTGCTTGTGCTTGACCCAGTCCTACACTGAGTGTTTCCATAATGTCACAATATATGAACTGGAGCTGAAGGGAGTCATGCTTCTTGAGCATCTCTGGCAAATAAGCTCAACCAATTTGATAGAAAGTTTACAGTGACAGTTTACTTTCATTTTTGTGTTAATTCAAAACAGCGCTAGACTAACCTGTGACAAAATTAAGACTTTTCTGACCTTAGCTTTGGCAAAGGGATTGGATTTAATTTGCTAGTTTTTGTATATAAGCAGGCTTAATGCAGATCAAATTTTAGGCCTTTCATGAGGCAACCCATGCTAGCTGCAGTGTCTTTCCTTACAATTCCTGTGCCAAGGAAAATCAAGACTTAGCAACTGTTTTGTATAATGCTCATAAACTCCCTTCTTCAAATATTCACTTGTCTCACTCAGTTAATTTGCTCCAGTCACCCTACTGAACCAGTCTTTAGGACAGTGTATCGGAAAGCGCCATTATTTCCAGTCCAATTGGAAATAATTCCAGTGAGTATCTGTAACATCTAAAACATCTCAAAACATCACAAAAAGGAATAAAATAAAAATGCTTTCAAAAGTCCTTGGGAAGGTTGAATGCCCTTTTTGCTATTTTCCTTTCAGAAAAGGGGAGAGGAAATTATATAATCTGACATTAGTAGTAATTTGAAACTGTTTAGTGCGACACTTACTAAACACAGGCAAAGGAAAGATGTGTCTTTTGAAAAAGAAAGGAGGAAAGGGAGCAAGTTTCATTCCTTCTTGCTTGCCTCAGCAGAAGGTGACTAAATGGTGACCTTGAACATGACTAGTTATCAACTGATAAACGTAATACTCCAGCTACTTTCCTCTCAACTTTCAGGCATGCGAGGTCAATCCTGGACACGGTCAGGCAGCACCTTCCCTTTACATACAGTTTCCTTTACAAGTGTGGTAAAAATAATATCCCTTTATATATTACTTTCAGACATTATGCATGTGAAAACAGAAATAAACTCTGGCAGCATGCCTTGGCAGCTCAGTTTTGCCTGAATTGGACTATTAAGTTTGAAATTGAAATGGCCCCCTCCTGCCTTCGGCAAGGAAGGGGTAAAACACATTCAACAATTACCTGATTGAACCCAGAACCTTATCAGGAAACTGTCACAGAAGGTTTTGCCCATACATGGTAAGTGTAGTTCATAGGGCTTTAAAACAACAGCTAGGTTGAATAATCCCATGGCAGAGAGTAGGACTAAGGCTTTATGGACCCAGCTCCCAGATGTGCAGTGGTTCATATTAATGATTTCCCACTAAGTCCCATCAGCCAAAAAGCAGCAAAAGTTGGCAACTTACTTTGTCTAAAAGAATGCAAGTTGAGCACCTGTAAATCTGCAAGGAGCTGCACCCTGACATCAGAGTTCCTTATCTGCAGGATGAGGGGAAAGCCTCTCCCCTCCTTTGCCATCACCCAGCATAAATCAGCGGTGCAGTGTCCTTCAAGGTGGAGCCATCAGCTTTAAACTCGAGGCAGCGGGAGCCGCTTATCATTTTGCAATACAAACAAGAATTGCCAGGCAAACTTAAACTCTAATCTTCCATTTTTAATTGGCAGCTTAAAGTATTAAGGATACCAAGAGACAAAAAACAATAGGCTCTAGATGTTGTGCAACTGAATTCCAGTTTCAGGGCCTTTCAGTGACCAAGGCCTCACACCAACTCTCAATATGAAGGGGCCTAGCAGTCAGTGCAGAAAAGGACAAGAGAGGAAGAGAAGTTGTTCTGTGAGCTTGACAGTCACACAGAGGCAGGCTGACTGTGATAAAATCACTTGCTGAACCTACTGCTGAAGTCCAGGTAGTGACATGGGAAACAAAAGCAAGAACCAAAACAGAAATATTCAAGTGAAGCCCCCAGAAAAAGGCCAGCCACAAATGACCATGGCAAGAAGAAAATTTTGCTATTTGAGTAAAATGCATCAAATCCATTACTCCCAGAAAGATGTTCTGATCCATCCATGCCGATGCCTTTATTCATGCTTAAATTCCCAAGAATAATCTATCAGCAACACCAGCTCCAGCTTACCCGTGAAATCCTATTTGGAATTTAGTGATCAGCATGCCAGGAGAACCATGGGCTTCAGCCTCACTGTAGGGCAAAAGAATAATACATTAATAAGTTTCTCTTCCAGTTGTCCAAACTCTATACAGTAAATAGATTAAAATATTCCATCGGTTTTGCTTCTTCCTTGTCAATAACTAACATCTGGTTAGAGCTGACTGGGTGAAAAAAAAATGTACTGGGTTTGTAACACTTTGTAACCAAATCAATTGTGAACAAAATGTGTAAGATCATTGTGTCATTCCAGTTCAAGGGCAGGGGAAATAGCTCCTTTGCGCACAACAGTTTTTATACTTCGCCATGAAGAATTCAGAGAAGAAACATCAGCTAAAACTTTAGTACCATGTATGTTTTTAGTTTTCAATGAATCAGCGAGTACCTTTCTTCAAGGTAAAGGTGGTTAAATGGATGAAATCTCAGGTGAATTGAATTCACAGTATCATAGAATGCTTTGGGTTGGAAGGGACCTTAAAGATCATCTAATTCTAACCTACTTTGCCATGGGCAGGGGCACCTCCCACTAGACCAGGCTGCTCAGACGCCCATTCAGCCTGGCCTTGAACACTTCCAGGGACGGGTCATCCACAGCCTCCCTGGGCAACCTGCTCCAGTGTCTCACCACCCTCACAGTGAAGTGTATCTTCCTAATGTCTAACCTAAATCCTCCCTCTTCTTCCAGTTTAAAGCTGTTAACCCATAATCTGTCACTCCGTGCTCTTATAAAAGCCCCTCCCCAGCTTTCCTGTAGCCCCTTCAGGTACTGGAAGGCTGCTATAAGGTCTCCCCAGAGCCTTCTCTTTCCCAGGCTGATGCCTTTATTCACATAACACAGTGAGCTGATGGAGGTCACCATGATAGTTGATTTGGTTAGCGATTGTTACAGACTCACTTTTTATTTTTCCCCCATTTAGCTCTAATCAGATGTTAGAATTACTGAATGGAAAGAGGCAAAATTGCTGGGATATTTCAACCTAGAAGAGGAATTTAATTGAGAAGAATTCTAATTATAAATGTGGTTTAATAAGACTGGAACATAAGCAGTTCTATTTTATATATTCTGCTAATAATGTTATTTTCTTTCTTTACAGGAATGTAGTCTGTTCTACTCCAAACGGTTCTGTCTCCCCTGTGTGAATGAAAACTTAAAGGCCTTTCCTTTGGAAATACAGGAAGATGTGAATAAAAGGAAGCCCCAGCCAAAGTCCTTCCCCTGTAAAAAGAGGGATACGAGAACATAAATACTGAAGGACTGAGAGAGATGGCTCTTTGGCTGGGGTTTCTTCTCTCTCCTTTTGCACACTATCAGGTTGCTCCTTTTAAAGAAGTGACCTTCGTCAGCTCACCACGATAGGACACAGTAACACATTTCCTTGTGTCTGGCTTGGCTTCAAACATCATCACACAGTGATTGTGGTGCCAGCAGGATGGCCTGAAGCTGTTGGAAGAGCCAGAAGGGCCAGCACACAAGCCTGTTGTCACCACATAAAACCCATGTAGTAAAAAACTAAACAGTATAACATAGGAACTGTGCCCAGATTTTCACATTTGTTATTTTAGTGTTTAGTGTTGTTCTTGATGCTTCTACAGTGCTATGAAAATCCAAGACAGATTCATCTGTCTTAATTCATACATCCAAGAAAATCAGTGCACAGCAATTTTTAGCCTAACAGTGCTGTCCTGGTAGGATTACAGTAGGCAAGGAGTTAAAAGCTTTACTTTTAAGTGTAAAGTAAAAGTGTTAGGAGAAAATGTCACAGGTCCCCATAGAAATATCTAGATTCTTCAAGATTATCCTCCCAATACTACCACAGACTTCTGAAGGTAGGTGCTTTCATAATAAATACCAAAATAATTTTTTTAAATATTAAAAGAAAGATACTTCCAGGTCACTTGCACTCTGTTTCCACTCAATCTTTCAGTCCGTGTCAGTACGGCAGCAGGACAGGACCCTTAATATGTCTAATTTATGCTTTACAAGGGAAGATGATATCCTTTTCAATTTCACATCAGTTAATCTGGAAATAGAAAAGATCAGTTAATAAGCTCAATTCTTTCCAGACCTGAACAATTGAACTACAGCTAGAATAGGGATTTCAAAAGCATCGTTTTAGTCAAAAAAGGGTAAACAAAATGTTAGGGAAACGGCAGTTTGTTTGCTTAGCTTAAAAATTAGCTGCACAATTTATGTTGGCTTTGTCTTAATTACAAGGCATTTATAAGAAACCAACAGTCACACACGTTAAGGGTATGTCTAGGATGCTCCCTAATCACCAGACCACATTTAGTCAAGCTTTGTTTGGTCCTTGGCTCAGAACCTTTTAATGCCTTGGTTAAGATCTCTTTTCTCAGCTTCTCCATCCATGCCATATGTCAACATCTAAACTTGATCGTTTTAGTAGAATGAACCATGTGTCTGTTAAAAGAAATCAACATTATTTCAGTGAGTTATCTTCAGTTCTTTAGGATGTTTGAGTGCCCTGAAATATTTTTTCTTTTTTTTTTTCCTGAACCTACTGTGTTGGTGTCCTCTGTTAGGGACTGGAATTTTGTGCAGTTACTAGAGGAGCAGTAATGGACCTATTAGTACCCTTTTCAAGCTCCAGGTGCTTTAAGACATAAAATACATACAAATATTTAATTGCAGGGGAAAAAAGACAAGTTAGAAGCCAATATTTCAGATTCCTTTCTGCAGTAACAGGAGACTACACTTTCAAAGAAGTTATATTAAACTTAGAATGAGTGGTATTAAATTTCAGTTTCATGCTAGATCCCTCCCCCCTGCACTTTAAAAGCTATAGTGTGTCTGCTTTGTACAAAGAAGAGAGGCAGAGAACCAGAACTGTAAAAGTGAGAGATGCTAGAAAGAGAATCACAGCACTATTCCATCTTAAAAATATTGATTATTAAGATAATTCATAGTCATAACCATGATTTTTTACATCATGATATGATAGGAGAGCAATTTAAAGCTCTTGGGCATTACCTATCTTCAAATACTGGTTAAGTTGAACCAGAGGGGTAGTAGACTCAGTATCAAGAGGGAGCAGAATCTGTAATTACAGGATTTTTCATTTAGCTCAGTACAGCTCATCTGTTTCTCTGGAGTAAACAAAAGAAGCCAAGTAAAGGACACATGCTTCACAGTTACCTGGTTATGCATACCTGTTAGGTGAGGAAAAGCACACTTCCAGCAAGGGCCAAAAACCAGTTCAGTAGCTCAGGACCATCAGATGTGCTCTGCCATCTCCAGTCCATGCTTTACAGAAAGAAGACTGACCTACATACAACTTGGTGTCTCCTGGAATGATAAAGGATTATTATCTGTGCCTAGCTGTTGAAACTTACATGTTCCACATTCTTCTATTCCCTTTGACCATGGGCATTGTGGTCCCTGTATCATAATATTCTGTATAATACGATGTTGTAGACCAAATGCCACCATGCCCAATCTCAATGGCCACTAGGTGTACTCTTCAAGACATGCAGAGCCTTTACATCTTGGTTTCCATCAGGTTCTCTTGAGTACTTGCTGCTGCTCACAATCCGGCCTTCAATGCTCTTGAGCACAGCTGATGAAGAAATGTGATTCTTTAACCCTCTGCTGTAATTTTTGCTTCAGCACTCTTTTAGCAGCTTAATAAATCTCCAGATTATTGGAGGAAGACGATCATCTGTGACACATCCTCCCAACTGACTGAACTGAAGCCATGCTCATCAAATGGGTTAGCTGTGCTACCTGTCACGGGGACGTGCAGTCAGTGCTTGCTGAATTCAACAAACCTCTCAAGCTGGTCATACAGTCAATGAGAATGGATGGACAGAGCAGGACAGCAGGACAGCAGGCAAACTGATGAAGTATATATACATATACATTTATATTATATATGCAATGTGTATATGTATGTTACACACACATTCCTAAATTAAAAGGTGTGTCTAGCAGTTAACCTGTAAGCATCAGCACTCTAAAGCTGCTTCTCATTCTGCCTTTAAAAGGTCTCTGCAATACACATCTTATTATGTAGCAAAGATACTTAATACAGTTTGTTAACATCTACTTAATGCTAACCCAAAAAATCTGGGCACCAGTCCCACCAAGGTTGCTTATCCACTCTTGTTCACTACAAAAAATCAGTGTGATAACTCCTCGGAGTAAAGTTAAGCAGCTAAGTGTTTTCTGAAGCAGGGCCTTGTGTACCACATGAAGGCAAATCAGGTCAAGGCAAAATCACTCAAGTTCTTAATTGCAGTAGAGCAGCACAAAACACACACGCACACCCCTGGTGCTGTGGCAGAAGGAGCAATGGGTGTCACCATCCCAGGGGCATCCCCAGGTCCTGCTTCTGCAAGCATTGACACAAGCTCTGGGCTGCGAGTGTGAGGGGTCGAACAAGAGTGGAGAACAGAACTGCTTTCCTCTACGTGGAAGCCACCCCTGCCTGCAGGGTCACTGAGCCAGGGCCTCAACCAAGAGTTGGCAGCTGCAGCCAGCAAAGGGTAACAAGTAGGTTTGTCTCAAAACCGTGACAGGACAGTGAATTGCTTTCCTGGAAATAAAAGATCAGCACAACTCATTACATTCACCTTTAAAAATACTTTATTCTTTTTAAAACCATTAAGGCAAAACCACATTTCAGATTTAACTGTGTTTACATTCAATCTTAAAGGATGCCTTTCTTTTTTTTCTTTCTTTTAAGCATGTAGATTCAGTCTCTATACAAACACTATGAATTCAACCTCTTATTTTTAAAGGAGACAGGGAAAAAAATATAATGTAAAAAAGAAGAAAAATGTTTAGTTCAAGTTTTTTCATCCTAGATCAGTAGGCTGGTAACATTTAAGAATGCATCATCATACTTAGCTATAAGTAATTTTTACATTCACAAGTGCAAGAGACTTTGTCTTTCCTATAAATCCCTGTGAGACCAGGGCTTCCTTTCTTGAAAATGTCATTTGCATTGTTCTGACAGAAAGAAACTTGGGAACTTGGCTTGAATTAGTGGTATTTTACTGGGAAACAAGCATTCCATGAGAATTAGGCCTGACTACTCCCTGCAAGAAATGTCTGCTCTTTGTAAGTTCCATATTTACTGTAATAAAACATACACAAAAATGCCTTAAACATAGGTGACCAGGAACAATGACTGTTTGGTGTTGTGTTTTTTTTCCTTTAATATTGATACCTTGATTTAATTAAATGATTGGTTAGCTCTAGTGATTATGGTTTGGTAACATTAACAAGTATGTGCTTTTTTGTGACATGTCAGATAACAGCTTAAGACTAGGTTCCAGTATCATGATGTAATTAAACTGTTGTGTCCCATTCCTAAAGAATTCTCAGAGCAATTGGTTGTAAAAGCTGTGAAGTAGCAGGAGCAAAACAAAATGCAGCTCATCATAGAAGCTGGTGTAACAGACATGGTCACACAGTTGGGAGGGGTATTCTTGTTAAAATCCATGATGTTAATAAAACATCGATTCGATTGGTTATTACCAAAATAACGGAACTCATAAATGTTCTTCCACTTCTGTCTGCGGGGTTAGTGGCACATGAATCCTCCAGCAGCAGATCTGCCAACCTTCCTATGGGCCCTGCTGCACATCACAAACAGACTCTGAATGATCACACCGTGCTCCTACACAGCAGGAGCAGAAGGCAGTACCTGCGTGCTGCCAAGATTTTGGCTGGTTAGTGTTCTCCCATACCACCCATTATTATTTTTTCTTTCAAGTGTAAAGAATGCCACAGAACTTGCATTGATCGTAAGGCTGGTGTCTTTTCCACACTAGGGATTACTGCACCTGCACATCCAACCTGAGAAAATATACTAAAATACTTTAAAAAAACCAAACCCCAACCTTTAAGTACCTCATGCTTTACCTTGCAGTCCTTATTTAAGGCCCAGTCTGCAATCAGATTAATGATCTCTCTTGTACCTGCAGTTTATCCCCTGGGCAGAGGCAACTCATCTGAAACTGAGGTCCTTGCAGTAGGAATTCTGTTTTGAAACACCCTGGCAATGGAATCTGACAAGATCGACTAACACAACAGAGGAGTCCAAGAAAAAAAAACAAAGAACAACTTCAGAAGCCGAAGAAGATCTTAAATGCCTGATAGCACATGAGAGAAAACAAAAGGGGAAACACCCTGGCCCTTAGTTAACATGAATTTGCATCATGTATTTACAGTGTAAAGTGTGCTGTTAGCACCTTTCATAGGTGTTGTCCATTGCTGTCT